AGTTGATAAAATCCTTGTATGGGCTCAAGCAATCATCAAGGGCATAGTACCAACGTTGTCATAATGTGTGAAGTCTTGCTTGAGAATGCTCTGGGCACCTGGCTGTAGAAGAAAGAATAGAAATTATGATAACAAAATCCTAATTCTAATAGAATATTAACAATGCTCTAATTAGACTATAATAATGGTAAACAAACGTATTCAAATTCAAAACAACTCAAAGAAATTTCAAACAAACAATAAATTTTTTAAAGAAATATTAAAATGATCACAAATATTACTCAAATATATGTCAATTCAACCTTAATTTAATTCTAGTTAAAATCCTATTGAATTTTACTCAAACTTTAGACCAAACCTAATTAAATCTTAAACCCTAATAAATCCTAAACCCTAAGTCAAATCCTAAACAAACCTTAAATTAAATCCTAAATCAAACCCTATTTCAAACCCTAAATCATAAACCAAACCCTAAATCAAACCCTAAATCAAACCCTAAATCCTAATCCAAATTCTAATCCAATCCTAAACCCTAATCCAAACCCTAAATCAAACCCTAATCAAACCCTAAACCAAACCTTAAATCAAACCCTAACTAAACCCTAATCCAAATCCTAAATCAAACCCTAATCAAACCCTAAACCCTAATCCAAATCCAAATCCAAATCCAAAATCAAACCCTAATCAAATCCTAAATCCTAATCCAAATCCTAATCCAACCCTAAATCCTAACCAAACCCTAAATCCTAATCCAAACCCTAATCAAATCCTAACCAAATCCTAATCCAAATCCTAAATCAAACCCTAACCAAACTCTGAACCGTAATCCAAATCCTAATCCAAATCCTAGCCAAACCCTAATCCAAACCCTAATCCAAATCCTAAATCGAACCCTAGCCAAACCCTAATCCAAATTCTAGTAATTCCTATGACAGATTTAAACCTCAATATCTAATGAATAAACCGTTGATCTCAATTCAAAATTTGCATACTTCTTAAAAATCAAGTTTAAAACAAGCACAAAAAATTTGAAAAGGATCGGAGTTACTTAATTGACGAAAACCTCAAAAATGTGTTTGGGTGTTAGCCGGCCTCCTTCTCCAATCTTAATGCCAACCTTCCAGAGCCAATTTCTCTTCTTTGCGCCGTTCGATTGGTTTCAAATTTCTCATGGACATAGAAAAACAAGTCTAATACCCTCTCACATAAGTTTTACTCCAATCCAACTAGAAGATTGCATGAAATCTTAATAATCCTCATTGGACCTAAAATTCTACTTTCTAAGACTTTGACCTGATTAAACCTCAATATCTCTCAGTTCAACCGTTAGATCAAGCTCAAATTCACAATATATATTTAAAACAACTATAATCATGAATCCAAAAAATTTCATTTATAGATCTGCAACAAAACTCTCGAAATCACTCAAAACATAAACCCTATTTTATTTCATAAAATCCAAGTCATCTAAAACAAACCTCCTTTTTGCAAAGCTCTTACAAAGTCATATCAACTCCAAATCACCCAAAATTAATGCCTATAGAAACCCTATTCAATCTTCTATCAAATCCCATTCTCCGATTTTCCAAAGAGTCCCGAAGTCGTCGTCGAGATTCGGTTTTGTGCCTTAGGCTCTGATTTCGACCCTGGTTCATAACTGGCCCTCTCCGGGTATCAACTTTCGTCTTCTTGAGGTAATTTTTACTAATTTGCACTCCTAACTCCTCCTTACATATGTCTATATCCTTTATTTTTCTAATCTACTTTGTTTTGCCTTATTTATGGCCTTACAAAGTAAATAGAAACATAATTTGTAAAAAGGCAGCATTAGCACCTTTAATTTTTCTACCCTTTTACTAATATCTATTTTTCCAAGATAATTTGCTACAATATTTTTGAAGTGAGATCCTCAAAATATGATATATTTCTTCACCCTTTCACCTACTAGTCATATTACATCACGACAACGTATCGACACCTTCTTTGTGAATGAGGGATTTGTGAGGAGTGAGGCTGATCATTCCATATATGTGATGCAATCAAAAGCCTTCTTGCTGATTGTTATTCTTTACATTGATGATTTGATCATCTTGACCAATACTTTGAAAAAGATGGATTGGTTGAAGGTAAAGTTAGTAACAGAATTTGAAATGAGTGATTTGGGAGAGCTCCACTATTGCTTAGGAGTGGAGTTTGTAAGAGATCGAGCTAAGAAGATCATTACATTGAGCCAAAAGAAGTACATTGAAGAAGTATTGAAACGGTTCAATATGGAGGAGTGCAAGTCTATTAGAACACCTTTGGAGGTAAATTTGAAGTTGATGAAACTTACGGATGAGAAATTTACTAAAATTGAAGAAGAAATGAAAGATGTTCCATAGAAGGCAGTAGTAGGCTCACTTATGTATGCAATGGTTGGTACAAGGCTGGATATTGCATATGCGGTGAGTGTCATGAGTCAACACATGTCAAAGGTTGGACCAATTCATTGGATAACCATTCAGAGGATCTTGAGGTACTTAAAAGGTATTTTAAACTTCAAATTGTGTCTTGGAGGTGATAGTATTACATTGCATGGATATTGTGATGTAGATTGGGCTTGAAATGCAAATGATAGAAGATCAACAATGGCATATGTATTCTTTCTTGGAATGGGAGCAATTTCATAGAATTGTAAGAGACAACCAATAATTGTAAGGTCTACAATGGAGGCGGAATACATAGCAACAAGTTATGGTACAATGGAGGCAATATGGCTAAGATAAGTTTTAAAAGATATTGGACTTGTACAATTGGAAGCAACTCTAATGAAGTTTAACAATCAAGAATGCCTTTCTTTTGCCAGAAATCCAAAGCATCATTCAAGGACAAAGTATATTGACATTCAACATCACTTCATACGGGAGAAGATTGAGATGGGAGTAATTGACATGAAGTATTGTGCAACGGAAGACATGCTTGCTGATTTGCTCACAAAAGCATTGGTAAAAGATAGACATTAAAAATTGACAAAGGAATTAGGTTTATTAGCCTTTGACCAATAGCAAAGTGGGAGTGTTAAAGTAAATAGAGGATAAGTTAGAAGGTAAAAGATATTATCTTAGATAAGTTGCTAATGGTCAAAGGGCAACAAAAGGATGAAAGAAAGTTACCAACGTGGCAGCTAAGATTTAAAGTGGCAGCTAGGTTAAGAGGAATTTAGAGTTTAGTTGGATGAAAGTAAGATGAATGCTAGCCAAAATGGATGTAACCTCTACCTATAAGTAAAGAGTGTTGGAAGTGAGAGGCATCTTATTACACACTTCTCTTGTGTCTAACCTTGATGTTTTCTACTTACTTGTGTCTTGCTTATTGTGTTTCTTCAATATATATGAAGCTTCTAGGAAGCTTTTTTAGAAGGTATTATAAAATTAACTTACTTTTATTTATTTATACCTACTTCTATCTAATCGTATAGATATTTATTAGAATATTTATGTATATCTATGACACTTATATTATTTGTATTGTATATTAAAAATAAAATATTAAGATACCAAATTCTAAAGATTTATTTTATTAAAAAATACTTCTAATATGGATTTTGACTTATTTAATTTTAATTTAGGTAAAAATTAATGGTATAAATTAAATTCTTATTATAAAGGTATAGAATGTCTTTAATATATTATATTTGTATGCTTGTATAATTTAATTATTTATTCTCTTTAATTTTTTTTATTTACAATAAAAAAATAAGAGAGATATACTATTTTAAGATTTAATTATTTTTAAAATTTAGATTATTATATTTTTATTATTTAATTTATTATTATTATTTATTATTTTTTTAAATATAATAAAAGAATTACCTCTTTTCAAACATGGCTTGATAATTTTTATTTTTATTTTTGCAAAAATATCATGTGTGGACAAATGTCCATTGATCCAAGAATTCAAAATTTGGCCAAATTCTCTACTTATGCATTTAAACACTCCAACCACAATTAACTAATATAAATAGAAGCTTAGGCAATATCCACAAATTATGTAACTCTAATACTTGAGTTTTACTTTTATATATATTAAGAACCTCACAAGATATTCTTATGACTTTGGAAAGTGAAATAAAAAGATGTCCAATTTGATTCTCCTTACACAACATGTAACAATTACTATTACATATATAGAAATTTCGAATCTTTTCAATACAAAAAAGAAAAAGTTCCATAATCATACTAAAAACTCAAATAGTCCTTGAAAAGAAGAAAAAATAAACAAAATAAAGAAAAAGAAAAGAAGAAAGAAGAAAGAGAGAGAGAGATAAGAAACCTCAAAATTCTCAAACTGTACACATTCAACTAACACACACTACTATGGACTCGACCACTTTGAGCTCCAAAAAGAACAGAAAGAGCCAATAAACTGCAGCATGAAGAGCGATAGAACTCAGTTTTTTTGGATTCTAGTTGACTTGGGGTGTGCAGATTCAAGCATCGGAAGTTGGTTTTTGGACTTCTTCGGCGTTGACCTCGGCGGGGGTCAACGCCGAGAAGTCCTTGCTTCTAGACGTTGAAGGGGGTCGTTACTGGGAAGGGTGGTTCAGTTCTCAGATTCATCACACAAATCAATGGACAACACCCCCCCTCTATGAATTGATACTGTTTGTGGAAGAGTTGCGGGGCCTGGGCAGGGAGGTAGGGGTCTGCATCTGTTGTTTTTCTATTGGGAAGGTGGTTCAACCACCGGGACCTTGCTTTTTTATTACTCTGGTGGTGAAGCTTTGGGGCGAGGTCCATGCTTTTGTGGCACCGCTTTCCGTCTGCTTTTGAAATTAGTGTTCCATGTGTAGAATTTTGCGGCACATGGGCTTATCGTACATTCGACAAGGGTATCGGTTACTTGAGAGCGTGTGGGTTGGATGCTGTCACCTTTTTCATCAACTCCATCATGGAATTAAGATCTTACAATAGTTCATGTTGGATTGTACTGACACTAGGCACCCCCTGCTGAGCCACATATGGAAGTCAAAGACAAAGCGATTTTTTTATTGTTGGGGGATTTTAAAACATCGCGAGACGGTTTCCACCTTTTTTTTCTCTTTGAGCTCCAATTCAATGAATCTACTTGAATGCAACTAGGTGCCTAAGCAATGCAACTACGAAACACTCCTATCATACTACTCCTAACATGCAACTAGGTGCCTAAGCAATGCAACTACGAAACACTCCTATCATACTACTCCTAACATGCAACGATTACTGGGAACAATGATCCAGATAACCAGATCCCATCACCAGTGTCTAAGCCAATTCATCGGCGTCGTGATCATCATGTAATAATCTGCTGCAAGCTAGAGAGTCGGTAGAGAATCAATCGACAAACGTCTTACTCAACCCCGTCTGTGTCGAAAACAACTACAGCCCTCTCGAATGTAATCGGCTGGATGTTGGGACCGAACTGCGCAAGAGTGATCACCACATCTGTGTAGTTCTCCTTGCCCAGCGCCATGATTTTCGGTCCCAATGCCACACGCCACCTCCGCTCACGGTTGAAAAGCGCCTGGCCAACGTGCGCGACGTAGTTGAAGGTGCCGATGAACTCCGGACAGCTCACGGTGGTTTTGTTATTTCCATTCGGGAGGAAGAGAAAAGCCTCCCAGTGAGCCTGGAGCGCGGGGATTAACGAGAGTCCAGATAGTTCTAGCACCTCGACGCCCACCTCCGGACGTCTTCGGGGACGTTGCACCTTGAAGGTGAGCGGTACCGTGTGCAGTACCATCGATGGCTTGAAGTAGGGAGTGTCGGCGATCAATTTCCTCGTTTTGGTAGGATTTCCGCGGTAGCAGAGAGGGACGCTGTTCTCCTCGCCTGGTAATTGTCCGTTCGTAACCCATCCGGTGGGCATCTGCTCGTATCTGAACCGTAGTAGCTCGTTGTCGAGCGTCTGGGAAACGTTCACGATTATCAAGTCACCGTTTTCGTCGAAAAATGTAAACCTCGCGTCGAGAAAATCTGGATCGACAGGCGCTTTCCGCTGCTCTCCTGGAAGGGTATTCCACACAGTCCAAATTCTGTCAACGTTAGAGTGGTGCGCGTAAAAAATGGGGTCCCTTGCAGCTCTGCCAAAGTTACCCATGTCGTCGAACATGCCGGACTCCGAATCTGGATTCCCAACCCAAAGATGGACTGTTCCGTGGGGATTATCCTCGAACGTCCCCGGCCCGTGTCCTCCCGCATCGCCATACCTATACGGCATCCCGTAGAAGAGCTGTGGCGACATAGCCCCCGACACCACCTGCGTATACATGATCCGGTCGTTCTCCGTTCGTAACACCGAAGGAGACTTGGCCGTGCACCCTCCAATTGTGTTCAAATCAATTATCAAGGGTGGTTCTGCACATTTATTGCGCTGCTGGTTCCAGAGGGGAGAGCCTGATTTTGCATAAGAAATCGGCAAGACATTAGCGTATGGCTCCTCCGGTGTTTGATTGTCCCAATTCCAGAACGGAAGTGCAAAGGTGTCATCGTCCAGCAGCTTGGCCAGAATACGCTCATGAAAGTACAGGAACATCCGGTGCCATGGGAAGAAGAACCAGCCGTTGTGAATCTCAAGCGGCCAGGGGTTGTCGGGGTAGTAGATTCCGCTGTCGCAGTACAGGCAGTGAAGCTTCGCTTGGTTGGTGAATGATCGAGGATCAGAATCCGGAAGGTCTTTTTGTAGTTGATAAGCCCTCTCGAGTCTGGCCACTTCGGCATCGGTGAGCAAGTGCACGGGGCGCCGGATCCTGATGGGGAGCTCAGGGTCCGGGTAGAATTGGTGTGCAGGTTGACCCACGTAAGGGCGCGGCATGCAGCACCGCTCCTCGCTGTTACAATACTCTGCAACGTCCGGCGGAGGAAGTGGGACCGCAGTGACTACATTCACTATCAACATCGCAAGAATCGAACCCCATGTCACGACCCCGAAATTCCTAGCCAACACAAGTCCACCCATCTCGAAACCACGCTCCGCATAAACTTCCCTCATGTCTCTAACTCCTCAAGCCAGCACAGTCAATCATGTACATGTCCAAGTACATCACCCACGAAGCATCTAATCACCACTGCGCCAAATCCAAAGTCTACAGCAATACAGCCGGATCACGAGTGTAGTTACCAGTGACAGGAATGTCCGACAAGGACCTAGTCCTCGCAGAGGAACTCGTTGACAAGCGCAACGACTTGGGCTGCTTCAGCGGTCCCGAAAATGACGAGTGAGGCGTGGCTTTGCAGTTTATCAGCTCTCCATATATGTATCGTAGACCGCTGCGGAACTCCGGCTTGAGGTACCTGAGATTTCAACTGTGAGGCCCCTCCAGGTGCTTGACCTCGGAAAAGACGTCGGCGAGACTCACATTGTCAACGAAAGCGCCTTAAAAGATCGGCTCGGTTGCCTGTGGTCGTGCGCCACGGTTGTCGGCGTACGTTACCACCCTAAAACCGGCGCCTGTACTACAGTATCCCACTTCGAGATGACCTGTGGAATCAGACGAATCCTGAAAGAAAAACAAATATTTTGTGGGGGTAAGAAAAGCTGAAGTTCTATAAGCTGGTTACACACACTGAACGATTAGTGAAAATTGGGTTTTTGGCACATCTTCATCATTAGGTCCAAAGAATCTCAATTTCGACTTGGTTTGTTGAGTAGAGAGATGAAAGTTCCATTCGATTGTTTAGTTGAAGGATACGTGGACGTGGGCTCGTAGGATGATCAACTAAATATGAATTTTGTGGGAATTAAAATTAGCGCAATGTTAATGGTATATATTTATTTTTCCTCCCATCATCATGGTTTCCTTCATACATCTTCCCATTAAACTACTGAAACATTAAAAGAGAAGTTAATTAACTTAAGGTGTAGGATTTTAACAACAATTTGTTTCAAAGTTATTCATTGCTCAGGGAAACACTGAAGAAAAACACTCAAGTGATATTCAAAGTAGTACTGTGTAGATGTATTATGAAAAAATAAATAAAATATAAAAATGAAATTTTACCACAAACGTACCAAAAACATCTTTGCAAAAAAAAGAATACAACTTTATCATATTGTCCAGAAGAGCAATTCTACTACCAATTTCCCTCATTTAACACCCACTACTACATTTAAAAAAAAAAAAAAAAAAAAAAAAAACTAGTGATTGATAAACCCACATGCTGGCGATGGAGTTGTCATGTGGAACAACTGGGTGTGGGACAAAAAGGGAGCTAGAAGAAGCGGAAACAACCCACTGTCGGTGAATGCTTGTGGTGGCGACGAAGGCGACGCGGAGCCCAATCATGTCCAGAGAGAGGTAGATACGGAGCTTCGATGTCAGCAAAGCGGGCCGTCACTTTGCTCTTTATAACCTGGACTATTCGACCCTCAGTCTTCCTTTCGCGAAGTTCAAATTCTCATCATTGTCGTCTGTTCGATGTGGCACTGCTTCCATGCAACTCGGATGTGGGTCTCGGTCCTGGTGAGGATCCATGCCCCTTATCGAGACACTGTGACTTCGGTGAACACTCGTGTAGGCAATCTAAGCCAAATCGGTCACGTTATCAGTCTTCAGTGGTCGAACCATCTCGGGATCACGTACCGTCACTCACGCGGACCATGCTGCACAGTTCTGGTATATGAAATCAGTCGCTCGGGTTGATTACCATGATGCCGTTATCTGAGATGAGACAGGATTTTGCCATCAGTGCCCTCTCTGTCTTGGCTTGAAGTCTTTCCCCAGATTGAATATTGCGTGATTGATCGTCAAAAGTGCGAACCGCATGGATAAACACGGTCGTTGTTCATTCGCTCCACTAGCGGAGCTGCGCGTCGCGTGGGCGTGTAGGGGCTTAATACCCTGCCTTTTTCGACTCCTTTCGACAAAGCGCGCTCCTCTAAGTCTGGTAGCGAAAGCATGCTAACCAAGTGTTATCTGTTGACACAAGGTCCTTTCGAAACGAAGTCAATGTCAAACTCATTTTGTGGTGCGATTAACAACTTTACAATTTGAATTTGCACAGTGGCTGTACTTGTTCTCGGTATTGACCCTTGTCGAGAACTCGCAGAGTCGCATCCTCCGCCCAAACTTTTCATTTTCGGCAGCCCCAGGGGAGAATTTGTTGACATCGCGGTCACAATCGGCAAATGGCTTCGTAGCTTTTGACAATTGTGTCGTTGTCATATATTTCATTGCATTTCAGTGGCATCGGAAGAGGTCGTAGGAGGGGCTATCGCATCATTGATTCGGGCCTATGCCTTTAACGTTATCATTCGTACTGAGTGATCCACTGCGAGGAACCGTCGAGCTCCCATATAACCGCCACCAATGAGCACCTGGCTCCAGCCACCCAGTATATCTTATCAATTTTCTCGCATTTGCACTTGCGTACACGAAACAATTACTGCTCGCCCTGGTAAAAAAACGTAGGGTGTTGTAATCTTTACAACTTAATTGTAGACAATTAAACTTCTGCACTTCAACTGCATTCCTGGCGGGGAGGAATCCAATCAAATTTCAGCGTCTCTCCAAGCCTTGACTCGATCAGGCAACGGGTGTCAACTGTGGTTAGTTTCATCCTTCACAAGAACTCTACTCGGGAGTTTCGATTATGTCAATGAAACTCTCATCTTACTCCAAAGCGCCGATGACCACACGATTTTACTAAATTTTGGGTTATGACTTTGCAAGCGCAAAGGCTTTCAGGGGAAGTCGTGCGAGAAACAAAGCCCCCTAGAATTCTCTTTCCTTATTGAAGGGCTGTTGGATGTCTTGGACGATGAATGGGTGGACAACTTAGACATGACAAATGGGAGGTGTCCCTCGTCCTCACATACCTTTTGTGCTTCTTTTGACTTCAAACCTCGCGGTGTCATGAATCATCATCGTCCTGCAGCATCAGCGATGTCACTTTTTCATAACTGTCCAGAATTACCAAATTTTGTCTTCCCTCCACAGCCCGGAACAGCCCCAGCTTGTGTTATTCTTCCAACTCACTTGAATGCCACGTTACCCAGCTTACTCTTTACTCAATTTTTTATTTTATTTTATATTGTATTTTTTTTATATACGATTGAATAGGTTACAGTGTGACTTCAAACGGTGGCTTGTATTGTGCAGTTTTTTCTTGGCTGAATCAGCATAGATAGAGAGGAATCGTAGTTCAAAGTTCGTAGTGTAATCACAGTCGACGAATCATTGTTCGATGTTTCTGAACTGGATTTATTATGGCGTTACAGTGTGGTTTTGTGTTAATGGTATGAATGATCCGCAATCAAGCCTCTGTACAGGTCATGCGATGTGGAGGTTTACTTGTGGCCTCCTCAAATTGTAATCGGCGTGTAAAAATCAGACGTGGATTAATATGATGTTCGGAACTTCACTACGCCACTCATTTAAACCAAAATAATAATAATAATAATAATAAATTTGTAAAACGACGTGAATAAAGTTGACGGAGTTTTCTTTTATTTTTTTATTTTTTTATTTTTTTTTATTGCTACTGTTGTTGAGAACATAGTAAAAATAATTATCTAAATTTGACTAAATGTGTGTGTGAGTGTGTGTTTTTCTTTTTTAATTATTTTTATTTGTTTCAACTTCTTCTTCTTGAGCTGGTATTTTTCCTCTGGATGCTTAGATCTCTCTTATATAGAAATCAATGTCTTTTACCAATGTCAATCTTATCTTTTATCAAAAAAATATTTTTTAAAGTGTAGTTGACTAATTGATTTCTTTATGTTTTATAATAAGAATCATATTGATTTCTTTTTAGTCATGTTGTCATCCTACAAAAGGCTTTTCAAAAGTGTGTATTATAATAAAAACAGCAAAAACAAAAGATTTTAGAGACATCTTATATTTCAATTGTAAATTCAACTTAAAAGTGATTTTTAATTTTTTAAAAAAATTCCATAATAAAAAATAAAACTTTGACATATATTTTGTTATTGGATCTTATGGCATATAGAGTATTGCACTCAAAATACTTTTTGACCCACTTTACATTTCACTTTACATATGCATTTATTATTTCTAGAAAATTATTTTTAATATAATTTATTAAATTAAAAAAATAAAAATATTATAAAAAATCAAATAAAATACTTTTTTCTGTTGAATATGTTTAAATCTTGTAAAAGGATTAAAATGACACTTTTAATAAATTTCTTGAATTTTTTTTCTTGATTGTTAAACATGTTATCAAATTTAACTTTTTATTATTTTTTAACACATTAATTTTTTTTTTTTAGTTAGAACTTAAATAATTTAAGATTTGATTTACTTGATTACCCTTTCTATCTATTTGGAGATAAATCTCATATTTGATAATAATGCAATGTTTACTTTTTAAAAATATTAATACCAAAATTTCTCTTTTAGTTTTAAGTTATATAAATTTTAAAACAAATATTTTTTTAATTATACATTAAAATTTTATTTTTTAATGTTAGAAGTTGATATTGTATTCTTGAATTGATACCGTATGTACAAGCTTGTTGAAAAGCCGATCGTCACAAAATTTATATTATACTTTTTAAAATTAAAAATTAAAAAATATGTATCTTATTAATTTTTAACCTAAAATAAAGAATTTAGTATAAGCACAGATACAATTACGACAATATTTAAGAAACCAAAGAAAACAATTCTCTTAAAAACTATATTTGATAGAAACATTATTTGACTGGATAATTTTAAACAAAATCATCTTAAAATAAGAATCTAAATGAGAATTGGATTTAATCTAGATAAAAAAAAAAAATTAAGAAACTTGTCTAAGTTATAACAAAATTAACAAGATGTTACTTTTGCAATAATACATCTAAAATAATTCTTCAAATAATGATAAGGATAATATATTTTTATATAAGTAGTCATATTTAATGTAAAATTATTTTTAAAATTTAAATGCTAAAAAATAGGATTTAAGAAATATATATATATATATATATATATATATATATATATATTGATGTATTTATCTTTTATATTAAAATTTTATTATAATATTTGGAAGAAATTTAATTTCTAAACTTTTTTATTTCTTTCTTCTTTGATTTTCTTGACACCAATGTAATCAAATATATGTAGATATTTAACAAATGCATATTAAGTTGGAATTCTAAAAACTTTTGATGTTTGTGATAATTTTTTATTGTATATAAGTCTGTTTAAAAACTGATTAAAATCAATATTGGATTGCAAATATATAAACTTTCTACACTAAACATCCCAACTGTTTCAAATTCTAGTGCCAAATATAAACAATAGTTTCACATCACTAATTTCATATATTTTAATTAAATGTAAAAGTAGTGTCTAATTAATGCATCACTTTTGTTTTTTATT